GCAGAAAGAGCAGTCCAAACTTTGAAGACAGTCTTAAAGAAACAGCCTACAGCTTCACCGGATACCAACATGTCCTAGTTCGTTTCTGATTACAGGACCACCCCATACAACACCAAGTAAGAAAGACAGTTTACTTCAGGGGACGAAGTTCGATACAAGATTCACGGAAATAGCCCTACATGGTTAAGAGGCATGGTCGACATGAGGTCAGGACTAGTTATGTATAAAGTTCAGATAGGTGCAATGGTGCTGAACAAGCATGTGGTCCACATGAAAGCTGAAAATTTGCAAATTACGCAGGAGTAAAACATGCCCTGCCCCTCTGAGCAGTCAGAAAGGCTGTATGGAACCCTGGGTTCACCATCTCCGTTTAGCGTTGATGAGACCTCAGAATCAGACATGACAGATATAACCATCTAGATGCCTTTGCTGCTGGAAGACGAATGAAATTCTACTGAGGCACTCCTGGTGCAAGAGGCGAGCTTCAGTGGGTTATATACTGCCCGCATCAGATGCCAAGTCAGAAGAACCTGACCCAGTGCTAAAATGCCCCAGGAGGCCCTCCAGAAAAGGGACTGGCCAACATCCTGGGACTCGGAGGGAGAGAGATGCAGTGATTGTAACGAGGTCAGCCAGCTGGACCTCAGAATATAAATTCCCTGATTGGGCTGGATTAACATCCCCAATCAGGGAGCTCTGGCTGACTGATAATAAACAAAGAAGTGTCTGGGATACTGCCACTCCAAGAGCTGACTCTGAAGAGGCAGTACTAAAAAGTTAAGGACTGTTCATGTGTAAATAAAAGGGTGACTTTGTGACAGAATACTGGCCTCTGTGGTGTTACTTCATGTACTATCTACAAGATGCACTGCAACAATTCACTAATGTTTCTTCAACAGTACCTTCCAAACCTAAGACCTCAACTATGATGGAGGCCAAAGACAAATGCATGAAAGTACTACCCTCTAAAAGCTCCCCTCCATGCCACATGCTGTCCTGCCTTGAACTATTCTCTTAATGTCACTGGGTCAAAATCCTGGAACTTCTTTCTAAACAGGGTGTACTTGACATCACATGAACTGCAGCAGTTATGAACATTTGAACAAGGAGCAAGGGTAATCTATTCAGCCACTCGGACCTACTCCATAACTAAATAAAATCATGGCTGATCTGACTGTAAGCCCAAGTCCACATTCCCATCTACCACTTTTGCCCCTTTGTTTACCAAGAATCTATCCACCTTTACCTTAAAAGCAACCAGTTCCAAAGACTTGCAACACTGGGAGAAAAATCTGTCTTACTGCATTGCCCCTTATGTTTAAACAGTGAAACCCTATTTCTAAATTGTCCCATTAGATGAAATATCATTTCCACATATACTTTGTCAAGATTTCTCAAGTTCTTACATATTTCAAGCAAATCACCTCATACCCTTCTAAACTCCAGTCAACACAAGCCTAACTTGTCCAACCTTTCTTTATAAGTCAACCTGTCCATTCCAACTATTTTCTGGGAAATCTTCTCTGAACTGCTTCCAACACATTTGTGTACAAACAAGGAAAACAGAAATAGGCCATTTGGTCCACTGAGGCTACTCTGCCATTCAACATGATCATGGCTGATCCTCTATCTCAGCACAACTCTCCCATGTCTCCCACACTCCTTGATACCTTTGCATTCTTCTTTAAACAAAGTGTACCCTAAACATACTGTACCCTACACTCCAGATATGATACAAGCACAACCTCCCTATTTTTGTATTCACAATAATACCCTGACAATAAATAATATTCCATGAACTTAGTTAATCACTTGCTGTACCTGCATACTAACCCTTTGTGCTTCGGGCATCAGGACATTCTGGATGTCTGTTGCTTCTGGATCTCAGAGCACTGTGATCTCTCACCATTTAGATAAATCACATTTTATTCTTCTTTCCAAAATGGACAAATTCACATTTTTACTCCACTTTCATCTTTTGTAGCCTAAGAAGTGTGTTCTTCACAACTTACTTTCCTACCCATCTTTGTCTCATCAACAAATTTTGCATTCATACTTCCTGTCCCTTCATCCATGTTATTTACATGAAGTCCAAATAGTTGAGGTTCCAGTTCTGATTTCTATAGCATTCAACTCATTACAACTTGCAAACTTACAAAATACCATTTACACGTACTCCCTATTCCCTGTTAGCCAGCTGATCTTTTACCCATGCCAATATGTTACCCCTTACACCATAAGCTTCTATTTTCTGCTGTCGCCTTTGGTGCGACACTTTACCAAATGCCTTCTAGAAATCTAAATACAGTGCAACCAACGGTTACTCTTTATTCACAACACATTACTTCCTCAAATAACTCAACTAAATTGGTCAAACATGATTTCCCTTGTTGTCTCTGCCTGAGTACCTTGCACTTATTAAGTCCCTGCTATACCTTCTTTTATAGCTTCTAACATTTTCCAAATGTTAAGCTAACCAGCCTGTTGTTTCCTGATTTCTATCTCTCTCCCTTTTTGAATGAAGGAGTTAAATTTATTGTCTTCCAATTTGATGGGACTTTCCCTACACCTAGGGAGCTTGAAAAATTGAAACCAATGCATCAACCATCTGACTAGCCACTTCATTTAAGACTCTAGGAAGAAATGCATCAGGACTCGATTGTTTCTCAGCCTGCAACTTGTACGGGGTAATCAGTACTACTTCTTTGCTCATTATACTTCTCTCCAAGTTCTTCCCTCACACCCATTTCCTGGAATTCCTGCCAATTGCCACACACCCACTTCTCAAAGGGGTGCTGAGGACAAAATCAATTCTTCTGATATTGCCCCTAGCTATGTTAAGTCTTCAAACTGAAATTGGTGACAGAGATAGTTTTAACAGATTTTAAAGAAGTTGTTATCCCCAATGGCTTCTTTTAATGGGATTGAAGTTATTTAGACTAAAGTCAGGGGACATGGCCTCGGAAAGAGTTTAAGACAGAGAGATGAGGAGGATTTTTTCTGATAGAGGGTGGTGAACCTTTCAAATTCTGAACCTCTGGAACCATGGAATCTCAATCACGGCCCAGGAGCAGGCAGGTGGGACTAGTTTTGGATTATGTTTGGCATGAATTGGTTGGACCAAGGGGTCTGTTTCCACATTGTGTAACTCTGATTCTATGAGCTGCTTCCAATCCACTTTAGCTCAATCTATTGAGACAACAAGGTGCAGGGCTGGATGAACACAGCAGGCCAAGCAGCATCATAGGAGCTTA